ACCGTCCCAAGTGTTTTAATTCCTGCAACCAGCAAAGGTAATGGATTAAACTTCTCAGCTTCATCTCTGGCTTCATTTTCATATCTCGACTGAATCTTGCGTCTTTCTTCCTCCACTTCTCTCTCACACTTCTCCTTTAACTTCTTCATGTCCCATTCTCTCTCCTCCATCTCTCTCTTTCTCTCCTCATGCATCTCCTCTCTCTCCCTCTTCCTCTCCACCTGTCTCTCCTTCCTCTCCCTCTCTCTCTCAGCCTGGAGTTGTTTGTTGTATTTCTGCATCTCTTTCTCATATCTTTCCCGTATTTCTCTCTCCATTTTCTCCTTTTCTTTCTGTATTTCTTCTTCTTTCTCTCTCAGGATGCGTTGTTTCTCCTCTTCAATCGCCCTCTCAGCCTCTTGGAACATCTCATTGGTGTAGTGGCTTCCTCCGTTCTTCTGGACTATCTCTCTGATCTTCTGGATCAGCTCAGTGACCTGAGAGCTCTCCTTCAGTTTATTATTGAAGACGTGGTACTGACCGTTACATCTGGCCACGAGTTCCTGAAGGTCTGAGCTTCCTTCTAAGAACTCTTCAATAGTGGTGCCTTCAAGTTGGTCCCCATGGGTAAAGAGAACCATGCTGTATTTGTCTGCTGAGTGGCCAAAGATTTTTTGAATCTTTTGCACCGTCTGTTTTTCCTCTTCAGTGAATCTGCCCAGTCTGACGACCACCAAGAAGATATGAGGTCCTGGAGAAGCATAGGAGATGCACTGGCATATATTTTTCTGAGTTTCCTCTTCATCAACCCTGGTATCAAACAGGCCCGGGGTGTCAATGACAGCAACGCGATGTCCACCCACTGTAGCTTTTCCTTTAGAAGATTCTACAGTCATAGATATGGGACTGAACTTGGATTCAAAGCACTTACGGCCCAGAATAGTGTTTCCAGTAGCACTCTTTCCAGTTCCAGTCTTCCCCACCATCACAATCCTCATCTCATCATTTGTGTAGAAATCTGTGTAGAAAGATCAGAAAGAATACATGGCATGAAATACATCCATCCAATTAACCTATCCCCACAAGCATGAAATATATTGTACTTATTATACATATACCTGATCATGCACCAGGTTTGGAGTCGGTATTTTAGGTTACAAATGTTCTGGTAGATGGTCAAAAGTTAATTCAACATCTACAGAGATGGGTCACAAGTCTCTATTCTGCTGTTGATCCTGTGAAATCAGAGTCATCCTCAGTAATGATCCTGACACTCTGCTATCAGGAAATGCAATTATTCTGGATTTCTTTTTTCTTTTCTGGTCAATATAATCACGAATGGCTTGCCAATATCACACTTATGAACCGTGTAACTATAATGTTACAGTGGATAACATATTTAATAGCAGAAATCTTAATGGACATTCAAAAGTTATGACCTCTCTTCCACATCTCAGAGCAAAATTCACAAACTGCTGTCTCAGAGACTTGGTTAAATAAGGAGCAGGTTGACATGGTTAGAAAG